CATAAAGTTTGGACTCAGCTGTGGTCGTTAAGTCGAGGGTTACCTGTATTGTGACAGATTTCAAGCTTGTATCCTGAATTAAATATCTTGAATTGAAAAGGAAATAGTTATTTAATACAACCCCTTGGTAGGGATCAGGTTGTCCATGAACAGTACCGTGATTTTTTTTTTTACATGAAATCCACCTCAAACCCTGACAATTTGGACTCGTGGTGCCCAAAGTTTTGAACTTGTGTTTGTAATGGCTGATCGGTTGTGCAGACATGTGCCCTGAATTGAATCCAGGTCAGAATCGTGGCTCCAACTGTTTTTCTTCTTTTGGATACTGCTCCTCAACGTTTTATTAAGGGGATTGCTATTTATTTATTTATTTATTTTGTGGCAAATCTTGTCGGTCGGACAGAAATTTAAAGAGTTTCTCCAGGCCAGGGGTAGGCAACCTCGGCTCTTTTATGACTCATGGACTTCAACTCCCAGAATTCCCGAGTCAGCTATTTTATTAAGGGGATTGCTATTTATTTTTAATTTTTTTGTGGCAAATCTTGTCGGTCGGACAGAAATTTAAAGAGTTTCTCTAGGCCAGGGGTAGGCAACCTCGGCTCTTTTATGACTCATGGACTTCAACTCCCAGAATTCCCGAGTCAGCATAGCTGACTCGGGAATTCTGGGAGTTGAAGTCCATGAGTCATAAAAGCCGAGGTTGCCACGTCAAGTTTCTGCCAGTTCGAACGGTTCTCACGGGCCCAGTTGCCCTTACACAAAAGCCAGAGCAAAGGGGAGGGTGTCGTTTTTGACAGGCTACTAGGAAGCCCTCGTCCCTTTGCTCCTTTCTCTTCTTGGATTCCCACGCTCCGTTTCAGCTACGGTAAAAAAAAATCAAGTTCAGCCGGGCTCTTCGATTTCAAGAATCAGAACGTGCGCATTTTACGCAGAGCAATCTCTGCCTCTTTGTGCGATTGATTGGCTTTCCCTTCTTCCAGCCGCGGCTGCAATCGATGTGTGGAGGCTCGATGCAGCAGCCTGTTCGACGGAGCGGTCCTCGGGCCAGACTGCTGCTACCGCCGCCGCCGCCGCCGCCACAACCGCCGCCACCCCTGCCGCCCGCTCCGCTTCATCTGCCGGCCCAGTCGCCCCTTGACGCCGTCGGGCCCCCAGCAGCCCTTCTGAGCGGAGATCGATCGCGGACGAAGGACGGGCTGGTAAGGGTCGGATCTGGTGGTTTCCCGCGTCAGCCATTCGCTTCTCGCACATGGGAAGGCGGGAGAAGGCGGGGCCTTTCCTGCGACGGATAGGCCTCTTGACCTATCCCCGTGGGGATAAAGCCGTCGCTCGGGGGGGGGGGCGGAAGGTTGAGCGCGATGAAAGCGAGAAGGGCTTGGGGGACATGTAGTTGGTTGCTACAATCATGGGAGATTCTAAAACGGGGGTCTTCAAACCTGGCCCTTTTATGACTTGTGGACTTCAACTCCCAGAATTCCTCAGCCAGCGTGGCTGGCTGAGGAATTCTGGGAGTTGAAGTCCACAAGTTTA